AAAGTAGCCTAAGCCTTAGTTTTCAGAGATTAAATAATATGTACTACAGATAAAAATGTATTTAGATATTAATAATCGATAAAGAAATCGAGGCAAGACCTTATTTTTTAAAAAAAAAAATATCTGTTTCTTTAATCTCAGATTTTACTTTTAGACAACATATTAAAACTATTAGCATCACTTGTTTGTACTCCTATATATTGAAAATTTAATTAATAAAGCTTTATTTTTAATATCTTTATTGAATACAGCAGTAAAGAAGTGCAGAATGATGTGATTTTACAATAAATAATGTGTTTATTACCTCATTAATATTTTTCTAAGTTCTCTAAGTGAAGTATGCCTAGGTGAAGTAAATCCTAAAAAGACTCAAAATACTTAAAGTTTTGTTCGTGAAGTGTCTTATGAATGACAGTTAAAAAAAATTATTATGTTGAGATATAAAAGTATTCTAAACTATATAAATTTAATTATATGTATAAAATTAACCAATCACAAGTAAGTTATCCAAAGAAATTAGTGAAAGAGTACAAGCCATAAAAATTAGATTCAGGTTAACTAATTATGTTGGGCAACCAATTATGTTTAGTTAATTAGATCAACTGATTATATCATGTTAATCAGATTAACTGATTATATTAGGTCAACCGGGTCAATCAAATAACTAATTATGTCAGATTAACTGGTTAAGCATTTGCTTAACTGGTTTATCCAAATTTGTTCAGTTTGGTTTGGTTATCCGATTATGATTTAATCAATTCAAATCATTATATACAGTGCATATTATTATGTTAAAATGTTAAATATCTATATAATTATAAAAATTAATAATACTTAATAATAAAAATACTCAATAAAACATTAAAGCAATAGACTAGAGCAGACAGAATTTTTAATATAGAAATGTAATGCTATAATATTAACCTCAATCATATTATTCCAGATAAAATATGCATTGTTTATTCAGATTTTCTTTTATTTTTTTAAGTTTTATAAATTATTACTTATTTGTCAATTGGTTTAAAATTTGGTTTGATGTCTTGTAACATTTCTTATTTATTGAAGAAGTTTAAACAGCTTGAAAGATATTTACTTATATAATATACTATATGCTATTGAAAATTATTTAAATAATACTCATATGTATATACATCATCTAAGCAATATCTCATTATTGCTAAAATTATTTTATCATCTATCTACTGATATTATTTTCTTTCTTATATTATTTTGACTCATTCTTATCTGTAAGCATTTATCAAGATGATCAATTTTTCAACTTTTGTAATACTTGGGTGTTCACTTATATTGTTTATAATAATAAAAAATAAGTAAAAGAAAAACCAGATTATGTTCATTAAAATTGATTAATAATCAATACATTAAGCTGCATTTTAAATTTAAACAGTTTCATACTTTTTTTTTAGAGGTATACTAGGTTTGTATTACAAACTAATCATCAGAGTTTAATAAACATTGTTTACAGTATTTTTATGTAAGATAGAATTTAAATTGTTTATCCAATTTGTAGTTGTATATACTTTAAATAAGACAAAAAGTGTGATCAAAACAGTAATTAGATTTTCTTTTGCTTAAACAAAAATTAGCTAATCATGACTTCTTCTATATTAAAGATATATTTAGTAGTTATAAAAGAAACAAAAAACTTTAAATAAAGTAAATCTAACTAGTACAATGTATATATATACTTTCGAGTTATATTTTAGCAACCAGAAGTAATAAAGGTAAGTTTATATATTTAACTCTTATTTGTCTATTTAACTTTTTTATAAAATAAAAAATATAATAAGAAAACTAAAAGGAATAACTTTAATTATTATAGATAAGATTGTTTATATAACTTTCTAGAAAATCTTCAAAACAATATAACTTTTGATGAATATGATAGAGAAGTAGTTACTACTTAGGTTGGTATAAGTAGTAAAGATGACCAATTATCTAATTTTTAAGACAACCATATAATTATTAAAGAAGATTATATAGGTGCAATTGCTAATGACTTTAAGAATAACAACCAAGTAGCTATTCATAGAGATCTTATAAATATTGAAGCCAATTTAACAATTATTCAAGACAATCATATATTTGCCAAAGAAGATCATATGAATAATATTCAAGATAACTTTGATAAGGAAGATTATAAAATAGCCACTCAAGATAACCTTGTAAATAATAAGAAAAACTACTTAGCTTTTATTTGTAATGTTTTTACAGATGTTAATGACAACTAATCAAATATCATTTAAGATACTTATAATAACTTAATGAAAGAATTTATTATTAATATTGGTAATTCTTTTTTTTCATAGAAAATAGCTAAATTACATTTTGAAAAATATGCTAAATCAATAGGATTTTCTTTATGCCATAAATGTTTTGAAGTTAACAATGCTAAGATTATATGTTGTCAAACATTTAAATATAGTTTTTCTGGCAAACAGATATCAAATAAAGTGATTGATTCAAGTTGTCAGCATTATCAATTGTCTAAAAAAATTAAATGCCCATAGCATATAAACCTCAATATGTCAAAGTTATTATCTAAAATAATAGTTACTAGTATGGTTGTTAGCATAATTATATTATAGCACCAAATACAGCCTTGTATAATCCTAAATATTAAAAGTTATTAGATGATATAATGAAAAAGATTAAGTTTTATATTACTAAAGGAAATATATGTTCAAATCAGATATACTTTATACTTGTTGCAAGTTTTTCTGATTATTTTATTTATAAGAAAGACCTTTATAATGCTGTTCAAAAATTTAAAGCACTTTTTATTAAACATTAAGGAGATGCTCAATATATAATTAATAAATTGTTATTTTTAAAAGAACAAGAACCTGGCTAGATCATTAATACAAAACTTGATTCATTTGACAATCAATTTGTTAAATTGTTTTGGATGTCACCTTCTTAGCATCAGTGTCTTATACATTATAATGATGTAGTGCAAACAGATAATACATGTCAAACCAACTGGTTTGACATAAATTTAGCTTTACTAGTAGTTGTCAATAATAATACAAAAAGTAGACTTGTTGTATAATGTTTATTAGAAAATGAGATAGTTGAAAGCTATGAATAATATCTCAATTGTGTTCTTTAAGCAATCAACAATATTCTATCCATTTGTCTTTTTTCTGATGCAGAACTAGCATTAATAAATGCTATATTATTAAAAATGTCTACTATCAACTATTTTCTTTGCATGTTCTATATTTAAAAAAATTTGTGCAAAAATTTGCAAAGTAAAATTTTGAATCATTTTATAAACAATTCTTGCATACTCAGAACAGCTTATATGAGAATAATTTTCATCATCATTGGATATGTTTGCTTGAACAATATCCTTAGTCTCAAGGATATCTTAATTATACTTTACATAATTGTTATAAAAAATAGATGAAGTGTTTTCAAGTTAGGTGTTTTATAGCTAGAATTCAAAACACCCAGAGAGTCGAAGTAATGAATAGATTAATTAAAGAAGGCACTAGTAGCATTTCTTCTTTATATACTTTGCATAATAAAGTTCAACAATTATTAGATAATAAAGCCCAATTGGCTTGTCACAATGTGTATCTCTAAACTATTTCAACTAATCAGGTTCTCTCAGCTGTTGAACCTATATTTCATAAAGTATTTAAGTTAATAAAAAAATATTTTGCTAGCATATATTTTTTTTATTCAAGAACAACAAATTTGTGGATCTTTATTATATCATGCCAATTTAATTTTTAAAGAATCAGTCAGTCTTATTCAAGAAGATTTTAATTAGCTAAATTATAATGCTAGCTTTCTTGAAGATTAATTTGATAGACAGCAAATTTTACTATATTCACTTTTAGATAGTATATGACCATCTTATATTATAGAAATTTGGAAACTTTTAAAAATTGTGAATTTAAATAAACATTATGTTATTTTGTTAATTGATAGTAGACACTTATGTACTTGTCTATTTATAACAAGTCATGAACTTGTGTATGCTTATTTTTCCAGGTTATAATAAGTTCAAAAAATGCTAAATTTAATATTAACCTTATAGCAAGGCAGTAGTATCTAGAAGATATTCAAGATAATAATGATCAACTAAATTTACAATATACAGTAAGGTAGTAACTCAATTTTAGCAAGAAAACTATACAAAAATATCAAATGATTTACATATTTTTAATATATTCAAACCAAAAATTACATTTATATTTGAAATAAAGAAACAATTAAGAAAGAAAATAAGATATACTCAGGTTTTTGAAAAGATTAAGAAAGCATTGAATTTGGCACTTGATCTGAATTGTGAAGATGAATTTATAGATATAGTCAACAGCTTTATTACTTGTAAAAAGGTAACATTATAAATGCAAACAATAAAGATAAAGAACATTTGTATATTTTAGATTCTTTGATTCAAAATGATATAGGCATCCATCTAATAAACATATTAAATTAGCATTAGAAAAAAGGTCATATGGTGGTTTTATAAATAGTGCAATCAATCCTACTGATTCTAATTTAAATATATTAGTACATGAAAATACAAATAATAAAAATTTGTATACTTCAGATTTCTTTGTTTAGAAGTGATATGAACATTTACTGAAAACAACATCAGATAATAAGTTATATGACAATAGCTTTAAAAGTAGTATAATTAGTCTACCTGACCACAATTTGAATATATATAAAGATGAACAACAATATATACATAGAAATTCTGTTCATACTCTTGATAATATTCAGAAAGTTGATGCTAACAATACTCTTAGCAAAGATGAAGCTATTGCTTTTGATACTATAAATAAAGATATTGTTAAGCAAATTATATATGTAAGGCATATGATAGATCTGGTCATAATGTTCAAAAATATAAATATCAAGATTAAATAGTACTCAGGTCTCACTAGAAGTTAAATGTATAAAAATTTTATTTATACATATATGTATATACATATATACATGTATTGGTTAGAGCTAAATATGTCTTTTTAAACTACATATAAATTCTATTTATATTTTTTTTTAAATATTAATGGTATTCTATTTATATTTATAGTTCTTGCTTTATTAATACATATAATAAAATTATAGCTAGTGTCAATTAAGTAGAATTATAAATATTTTTTTGTTGTTAGCAATAGATAAATTTATTAAGCTATTTACTATAACAGTAATAATGCAAAAAATCTAAATTAGAGATACTATCACTATTAGGTTGTATATAGGTTTTGTTCTTGACATATTGCTTATATATATGTAAGTTGAAAATTTTTATTATATATATAGGAAAATTAAGTTTTATATTTCCTGTATTATATATAGTAATTATATATACTATATGTATATATAATATATATAATTTAGTTAAAAATAACTACTTTTGCTCGTATTTGATAAGGTGCATTTGTGTTTCTGCACTATAAGTATTATATATGTTTTATTAATATATAGTAGGTTAATTGACAATTATGTATATAATAATTAGAGTTGCAGTTATATAATATAATAACAATATATACTAGTACATATAAAATCAGATATTAGTATGAATTAGCAGTATCAGTATATGTAATGCAATTCAAATTAGTGATTTATTGTTATATGTATAAATATCAAATATATAATTTATATAGTATTGGTATATAGATTAATATATTAAATGTATCTATAGTTTGTAATTATGTAATTGCAGTGATGATCACTGTAGTTATAGTTAGCAAAATTTAATAAAATAATTTAATAAATAAAATAATAAAATTTTATTATTTATGCATATATCTGAGCTTCTATAGATGTTTGTAGTTTACTAGGTTAATTTATTATAAAAAAGTTTTTATTTTCATCAACCTTACAGTGTGATGAATTTCTAAGTTCATTTTCAGTATATTTACAAATTTTAACATCAGTATATTTGCAAACAACTTTTTTTACACAACAATTAAGATAAGAGCAATTGATTTTGTTGAAACTTTTACTACTTTCTATTGAGTATTAGATCTAAAAAAGCTAATATTAAATAAAAATTAAACAATTAAATAATTACAAAAAAAAAAATATTTACATTATTAAATAAAGCAATTAGATCAGATAGTTTTATATTAAAAATATAAGCAACTTCTTCATTAAAAGTTGCTGAATATTCAATTAGAATAGCTAAAAATCAGATATCTCTTATAAAAGTTTTTTTGTAAAATAATTAATTATTAGTGTTTTAAAAGAACTTTTATTATTTGTAGTATTTTTAATTGAATGAATATTCTCTATATTTTATTATTAAATTAATAATTAACCAAAAAAGATTTATACTAGTTAAATTAATAATTAACCAAAAAAGGTTCATGCTACATATATAATTATAGCAATTCATCATTATATTAATTCTCAGGTCATCTAATTTAATAGTTGGAAAATTACTTTTTAAAAAAGAATTAACTGTTAAATCAATTACTTCTTTGTAAAAACTTGAACTAAAACTTTTTTATTTCTTAATATTATTCATATAAGATTAAAGAATTTTTATTATTTTATATAAGTAAAAAAAAATATTATATCAGTATGTTTAATAAAGTTTACCATATACTACATAATAGATATTTATAGTATAACATACTAGTACTAATAGTACAGTGATAATTATACACAAAATTACATGAGTATAGCAAAATATATATACTAATAAATTTTATTATACTATATTAAATAGTTAATTTATACACATACTTAACATATATATATTTGATAATAGCATAGCTATTTTTATATATATTTTTAACAATATTATCAGAGTAGCTTTTTGTAATTTTAAACAGCTTTGATGTCTATTTCAAAACATAAGCAAAGCTTATATTTCTGTAGATCTTATAATTTTTATCAAATTCTTATTACATTTATATGTTATCTAATCTTATTAATATCCTTACTAACTTGCTTACTAATTAGCATAATTGAGTTATTACAAATTTAAGTCTTACTAACTTTTATAATATAAAAAATAATATTGATTAAGAAGAAACTATAACCTTATTATTATGAAGAATCTATTATAATCTTTTAATTAACAAAATAACCTTAAACTTTTCAGAATATACTTTAGCTACAAAGTAAAACACTAGTTTGCTTTAGCTAAAGTCTTAACAACTTTAAATCTTAGTATCTGTGTTAGCATATATAGATAATATACATTAAATAACCAAATTCAAAAAAAGAACTACAAACAATTATTGCTATA